GACTATTAAATTAGTCGTCGACGATTCTGATAGTCGATGTAATCGTGACTAGTTGACTAATCGTGGCAGCCCTAATTTGAATAGACTCACCCATTAACTGATTTCAGTTAATTCGTTTTTTTTTGTTGTAGTTTGTAGTTCTTTAGAGTGGAGTGCAGCATAGCATTAATTAAACAGGTTCGATTTGTATTTTCTAAGTTATTTTTCTTGAGCATTTATAGGGCTTTTGGGGCATGCTGTGGACTAATCTAAGGTGCTTCATAATGAAAAATAAATCAATTTATTTGAACTATTTTTTAGATTATTTTAAATTGACCACATACACCATCATAAATCTGAATGAAAAAAATTGAGCCATCCTGTATGAGCAAGCACTTGGCAGAACCAGGCTCAGGCCATCTGTCCCAACATAATGACATCACACAGTTGCTTATTGCACAAGCTCACCTCGGGGACTTTCTGTTGACACACCAAGAACATGAAGATTCCTCCCACAATGATGGCCAGGCCAATCAGCATGAAGGGAATGTTCTCCACAACGTTCTGCTGAACACCAATCGCCTTTAGCTTCTTGGCTGCTGTGTCATCAATGGTGGCGCTCTGTTATGACGGTAAGAGAAAATATTGTGTTATAGCACATAAGAACACAAAACACAGCCCCTACAAAAGTAAATGGTACATTTACGGCCCTTTCATTTACCGTCTGTTCATCTTGGTGTTCAAGTTTATGAAGAAACTGAGACCATAAGAATTCTATAAACAAGTAATATTAAATTTACTAACTAGTGATTTATATTAGATTAGTCTTCTGTAGCTTTGATTCTGTGGAATCATAGTATCTACCTCTGTATTTTTCTTTTTTTGCCTCCACACAAGTTAGATTTACTAATTTGCAGTCTGTCTGAGCAGGATTACACAATGCTTTAATACATAAAAGAGAAAAACACAAGGTACATACTGAAAACAAAAATGCCTCCTTTAACTACAGGGTACCCAAGGGAGTCTTTTCCCTTTGAATCATTTGTATTTAACTGAGAGTTATAACAGAAAATGTATATAAACCAGAGCTGTGGTGTGTGTGTGTGTGTGTGTGTGTGTGTACGGGTATTAACATCATTGTGGGGACCAAAAATTGGAAGTTTACTTTACTTGTGGGGACTGACAGCCCTTGTGGGGACCAAAATCCCGGTCCCCACGAGTTTGAAGGCATTTTTGAGACTCAAAATGTGGTTTTAGTGTCAGGGTTACAATTAGGTTTAGGCTAAGGGTCAGAGTTAGGCATTCATTTTTGATGGTTAGGATTAGGGTAAGGTGTGTGTGTGTGTGTGTGTGTGTGTGTGTGTGTGTGTGTGTGTGTGTGTGTG